TTTTCGGATGTATTTTGTAGATTGTAGTTCTATTTGTGCTTAATTAAAGAAAGCAAATTGGATTGTTAAACGTATTAAATGTACACGAGTGTATAAAAATTGATTCTTGAATTAAAATACACGGTTTTAGAATTGCTTTAAAAGTAAATATTTCATCCGATAAGTGCAGCCTTTTTCTTGAAAATATGGGACATATTTGGGGAAAGTCCTTCTAAATAAATAATGTCTTCTAAATTTTTAATTCTTTTGTACTTTTTTTTTAATTTAAATTCTTTTTTAATTTAAATTCTTCTAAATTTAAAAAACTCAAAAAAATCCATTAAATCGACTTACAATTTGCTAAAATATCACTTAACATAATATACACACAAATAACCGCACACCCGAATTGAATACCTCATCATATTTTAATTAACGTAAAATGTTGCATAATAACGTATTATTAACCTAAATAAGCTAATAATATATTATAGCGCACGACTTCGCTTAGCTTAGTTCAGAAGCTGGAAAGCTTAAAGTAAAGCAAATACCAGCGAGAAAAACGCCGTTTTATTTCACTGATAATATATATACATTGTACATAGTAGCTTGCTTGTAAAAACCTAATTGTATAAGTAATTTTAATTATTATTAAATATTGCAATGTAGTTTAGAAATTACTTATCGACGGTTCTTAAAGCTTCTTGAGCTTTAATTTTAATGTAATCTATAGAAACGTTGTTAGTCTACTACTTTTGGTGCTTTTATTCTAAATAATAAAATCGTAGTAAAATATAGGCTTTCAAGGAATTTTATAACTAAACTAGCGACTTACGCTCGCTTCGCTCGGTTTCGTCACAAGTTACGTTTTAACGTTTGGAATAGATTTCTCAGAGTTGAGATATTTCCCCGCAGTAAAAAGTACCCTTTATGTTGACCCGGATAATCAGCTACAATCATACCAAATTTCATCAAATCCCTCGAGTGGTATTTCCGTAATGCGGTCACAGACAGACAGACAGATAGACAAAAATTCTAAAAACTATAGAATCGGTCTCTGTATCTATAATAATGATTATTTCAATAAGATTGTCCAAATAAATATTTAATTAGTTACAATTTTTGTTATATGTATATATTGAATAAAATAAGCGCCTTAAATAAGCCTACAAACTGTTATAACGTGTTCAATGATTATCCTTAACTATTTATCTAAACTTGATCTTGCGTCACTCTCAATGTTTGCGCAGGAGTTGACGGACTACTGTGAAATCGTTACGTGCATTATATCTCGTAGAACAAACTGTTGAAGCTTTACGGACCTTTGACTGTACTTATCATGTCTTTGTTGATAGGGTTCCTTGGAACAGTAAACCATATAACAAATAAGTTACTATTGAATATTACTCTAAAATTACTTTAGGTCTTTACTATTGGAAATATTTTCCTTTGTTTTAACTGAAGCCAACAAGTATGGGATATAATTGATTCAGAAAATTGGCCAACACTCTTGGGTATTTACTTTATTTTTACAGCTTTTCTTTAGGTAGCTTTTGTGAGGTACACAGAGAGAGTGAGGTTGGATATCGAGCGTTATAAAATGTGATTGTTTTATTTTATATATATATATTTTTTCATAAAGGGCCATATGACCTTGTACAGGTGTACCAAATGTAACTATTATTTTTTGCCTTTTATAATATATGCTTAATATCTTTTTTACTGGCTTTAAAAGGTTCAATTCATGTTTGTCTTTATTTCACGTAAAAAATTTAGTTAAAAAGTATTTAATTATAGGTCATATTTTAGTATTGTTATAGATTGTAATCAATGTATGTTTATAGAGCCCTTCATATAGAAGCTGACATTATCCATTTAAAACGAGCTTAAGAAAACTTATAGTTAATAACAAAGGTTAATAATTTCTCTAGGTTTATGACTAGGTATATAACTTCTTTGAAGCTTACTTTTCCTACTAATTTTTATATAGATCATGTATTTGATAAGAGATTTTGAAATATCTTAAATTACATCACTTCAAATGTAATAATAGCATAAAGAGCATTTCGTTTACTTTTAAAGAAAAAAACAAGTTTATAGCCCAAACAATATATTGTAATGCAACTATCTACGGAATCTGCTTTACCCATATTACCCACCATTCCATTTTCTAAATAACAGGAGGCAGGTGACAAATATTGACATATTCCATATACAAACAGAACCTTTTTGACCCAAATACATTATTCCCAGAAAAGTAAGACGGGGAGTCGAAAAGGAAATACAACAAAACTCCCTTACATACCTTTAACGTATTACCGGATTTGTATATAATTAGATTAAATTTCAGATATTAGGTTTATATATGTAAATATAAATTAATGTATCTGTTCATAATGTATGTTTGCATTTGTATTAATTCACATATAGGGAACCATTTTACAGCACTTTTGCGCACTTTAAAGCACTTTTGAATGGCCAATTTACAGATAATCCGTATAGTCCAGTCCCTGAGAAAGACACCTCTGGCTCGGATAACAGTCAGTACTCTATCTAAACTTTAAGGCTCAAAAAAGTAGTGTGTATTTCGTACGTAATTACCTACTTACTACTTACTTAGGTATCTATACTAAATGAAAACCCTCGTTTAGTTATTTTTTACATTTTAGTGCCTGGAAGTCGGTTTTTATTTTATTTTTTAAAATTTTTATACATACCTATGTTGTATATTATGAGCATATCCTATATTATATATAGTTACACCTAATTGGATATGGCGTGTTGCTATAACTATTAGGTAATATTAATGACTTGTGAACTTATGGAGTTATTGAATTAAATATTTATTCGAAATTTAAATTTAAAATAATGATTTTATTTAGAATGTGTTTCTTTTAGAACAGGTTAGATTAAAAAGGAATACTGTTAAAAATACCTGTTAGTTTTTCTTCCAACGGGATTCGATCCTACGACCTACGATTATAGTGAGAAGCTTTGATAAGATAAATGCAGATTTATTTATATAATCGTGACTTACCCACGCTTCTATTATTTTTCTAAAATAAAAGTAGCCTCTGTTACTTCTTATAACATCAGCTGTCTGTCAGTATAACTTTCGTCAATATCCGAGATTAGCCGGAACAAACAAACAGACAGATAAATTATATCTAAACTATATATATAATATTTAAACTATATCTTTTTCTTATGAGTACCGTAGATATATACTTTCATATGTATTCAGTAAAACGCTTATATTTGAATCTTGAGCTTTTATACGTTTAGATTAGGTGAATATTTTATTTAGTTAATTTTAACGGTAACAGTTAAAATAACTAACGTTACAAACAGAAATTTAACTCCCCCCAATATTTGGATATGTCAGAATAATAAACCTTTTGTGGTACATTTCTCAAGGGACCATACATACGGTTTCTCTACGTTTTAGTTACGTGTAATTTATAATTTCTAAAGCGTATGCTTGATTACGTCTAATTTTCTAAATGGTTTCCGTAACTCTATTAGTGGTACGCCAATTTGTTTGAAGTTGTGGTTTTGTAATTGCTTGTACACTCTACTGAAATTAGCTTTACTTGCATGCTAATAATGATGAATTAGAGAACTGATGTTATGACGAGAGCTGCCTAACATATTATTTGGCTTTGCTTCTATATAGCAAGAAATAGCAGGTTTGATTCCCATTTGAGGCTTATAATTTTCATTGAGAGTACAATTTTTGCAGTCGAATATAACGAAAGGGTAAAGGGGTATGAAGGAAGATGGGATGGGATTATTCCCGTGCTATCTCCGTCCTCCTCTCTAAGCAATATAAAAAAATATTATTCAACCGGATTAAATATATACCTAAAATGTATTAAATCTTTATATCTCAAGCAAGTTTAGGTGATACCTTTATCTATACTAATATTATAAAGAGGCAGAGTTTGTTTGTTTGTTTGTTTGTTTGTTTGTTTGTTTGAAAATGCGTTAATCTCAGGAGCTGCTAATCCGATTTGAAAGATTCTTTTTGCGTTAGATAGCTCGTTTATTGATGAAGTCATATATTATATAGTCTACATATATATTCCATACTAACGGTTAAAACGTACCTAGTAACAAAGTGAGACGCTAGCATTAAATAAGTATTATCCTTTAATTAATACTACACGAAATGCTCATACAATTAGTATAAAACATCCCAAAAAGGTATTTTAAATCGTATATTTCTGTGCATATTTTATTTGCCTTTTTACTCAATTAACTTATACTTTACGAGCGAAAATCTTAGAAGTCGTTACTTATAGGGATTAGAGTAACAGGTAAGTCATTAAAAGGGGAATCGGGCCAATCAGAAACAAGAATGGCTCCCGTGTCATAAACAGCCAATTTGTAAGGAACCCTCTAATGCGTATGATATTAATATTTTCCACTTTTGTGATCACAGTAATTGTACTGGATATTAAAAGTCGCGATTGTACGCACGTGTATACTATAACAATATACTTTAACAGGTTTAAAAGTGATTTTTTTACATTAATTTTGTTGGTACATGTATTGTAGTTTTTTAATAAGATAGATAGTTATCTAGAATTAATACTAGCTGTAAGAGCTTTACAAAAGCTGCATTAAAAGCTTTATTCAAAGGACAAAGAAAGTTTTATAGTAAAGTATGTTGCCAAGCCATAATTTATGTCATATATCATTAGGTAAATTGTTAATTATGTTATAGTATGAAGAAAATTAATGCATTATAATAATTGTTTTTTATATAGGCACAGCTTATAATATAAGTACAACTATTTTCAATATATTTACTTCCTAAACTATTGTAGTTCCTCCCATATAATATAGGTATACCTACCTGATATAGGTAGGCTAATATTATTTTATAATCTTTTAAATAAATCTTAAATGGTGTGTGCGTTAGGTTTTTACTGTCTATAATTAATATCTTCATGCAGTCTCCCTGACAATACAAGCTATTCTTATACGAATATTTATAACAATCAATTTTATTGCAGTGCCGCTGGTGCGATGTGTGACAGGACTGGCTATGGAAGTACCATGGGTCACTTCCCCATGGGCCACATGTCAGCTATGGGGGCCATTGGCACTATGGGTGCAATATCCGCCATGAACGGCCAATCACACCAGAAAAAATCCCAAGAAGAACACATAAAACGGCCCATGAATGCTTTCATGGTATGGTCGAGGCTTCAAAGGCGGAAAATTGCGCAGGATAACCCGAAGATGCACAATTCGGAGATTTCCAAACGATTGGGTAAGTTATCTCGGCAACTATTATGTAATTTTTCAATTAAATTTCCATCTGTGTTGGTTTTATGGCTATATTTATTCCGGTTAGTTGAATTTCATGAGGAGTTACTCAAATAATGCGGCAAATAAAAAAAAATATATACTTATTTTGGCAATTACATTCTTATTAAGAAAAGCAGTCATGAGGACTACCGACAGAAGTGAAAAAACTACAAACAAACAGTTGTTATTTTTGGATATACAAATTAATTGTTTGATCCTAATACATTAAAATTTGTAAATTAAAACTGTTTACATTTATCTGGTTTTGACATCTATCGACACTCTGAGTGTTAGCGTTAACACGTCACGTGACCATGTCGATGACGACTTACATGAATTTACTCGACATCCAAACAAACCTGCCTGTAGAAGTTTTCACTACAAAAAACCTCTTTTTATTTAAATCAAATTCCAAAATCATAATGTGTATGAAAGTAACAAACACAATCTCTTTCACAAATTTTCTAATTTATAATATTAGTGTTATCAGCTTACCGTTTAAAAATAAAGTCGAATGGGCTAGCGAAATATATGTCAGAAACGTTTTTTTTTTGTAATATATGCGAAGTTGACACTGTTTGAATTTGACTGAAAAATCAAGTGCTATAGATTCTGTGTCGTGTTTTCGCTATTTTGTCCTTCACTTTTCGTTATTTATCGTTTATTTCAACACTTATCCATTATGATAACACGCTGAAAGGCCAAATATATTTAACAATTTAAGTAAATTATTTGTTATCATTATCAAATTTCAATATACATAGTGATTATCTATTGGCGGCCTAAAGAGAATATTCATAAATTGGTTTAATTTAACCTTACAATAGTGGTTCATACGTAGTTAATAAAGGCTTCATTTTGATTGCAAATTGATCATTCACATCTCACCTTTGTCCTCACTAGGCCTCGAGTATAACTCGTCGACAATAGTTATGTAAATTAAGGTTTGCCATCTGATATTTCTCTAACTAAATTAAATTAATCGAACTTGACACTTTCCCAAGGCTATTAACGTTTCAGACGAAAATAAACAAAGCGTATAGCTATTAAGAAAAAAAACTTGCGATCGTCACACTGATTTAATCTGAACCGTAAATTCATGATCACAGTTCAATAACTTATGTAGTTGACCTTCGAGCGTTATACTAAAAAATAATGGTACAGATGTACAATTGACCAATGTCTTGTAAAGTCGTGCTGAAAATACGCACAAAAAAATTCGGTTACAGTAAAAAAACGACTCAATCAACCGGTAGAAGTGAAACAGCGGGGTACCGGCCACCGAATTAATCAACGCCAAAAGTAAGCAAAATCCAGTCTAACAGAGGATTTAAAAATGAGAAAGGGGGAGACAGGGGCGGAAGAGTATGGAAAAATAAAACCTGCCGCATCCGCCATTCTGTCGGTGACGGCGTTAGCAAACCCTATTTTCTATTTTACCTTCTTTTTTAGTATCTCTTATACATGTTTGGAGAGTGCTGTTGTATGTATTATATATATATAAAATTTGTATGTTCACATATTTTAAAGCTTAGTATACTGTTGCTGTTTTCATATATTTTATTGTGTTTGTTTAAATAAAAATGTTTTTATTTGAATACCCTAAGGCTTGTTGATATTAGTAAAGTTAAGAAATGTCATCCTGCTAACGGAGGACTAATATCGATTAAAGCAGGCATCCTGATTTGATAAGTTACATTTCTACAGTCGATATCGCTGATAGAAAATTAACACTAAACATACATTAATTTCATACGCATCTTAGTTTTCTATTAGCGACTAACGACTTACTCTCGCTTCGCTCGGGTGCGTCCCTATGTACGTTTTAATTTTTCTTTTCATGGGTTTTAATTTATTTTGAGCGGAACACTAATTCTTTTTCTAAAATAAAATTAACCTACGTTACTCCTTATAATATCAGCTGTCAGCCAGTAAAACTTCGGAGATTAGCCGGAACAAATAGACAGACAGACATTTTAAAAAAAAAAATGGGTTTTTCTTATAACTACCGCATATAATCTCATAAGTATTTAATAAAAAGTGGTTATTTTTACATTACAAACAGACAATTCAATTTTAGTTATCTGTATAGATTATACCTATAGTATTTTTCACTAAATTACTTATCAATTTAGTTAGCTCCATAATAAATTCATATACTTAGAATTCTATCGTTAAGCTTCGTTCATTTTTAAGTCTTTTATTAAGTTAAAAAATTTCTATTACAATGAATTAAAATTTAAAAATTCTTATCTCTAATAGTCGCCGTCATCAGCTTGTCATGTTGTATGTAAACTTGTTTAACTATTTTATTTTAGTTCAAATTATTTACTTTTTGTTATGTCTTTAATATATATTATCAAGTACATTTTTTTACTTTATTCATTCTTAAAAAGCTTTAATTGATTTTTGTCTTTGATTAAAAAAAATTTTTTTAGCTTTTACATGTATTTTATTAGTTTCAAAATTTATTTCAAAATATATCCGAAAATTACATTAAAACTTTTAGTCTATAATTATTATAAAAATAAGTCCCCCGGCCGCGTCTTTCTGTCCTCCTGTCTGTCCTCCTGTCTGTCTGTACGCGATAAACTCGAAAACTACTGAACGGATTTTTATACGGTTTTCAACAATAGAAAGAGTAATTCTTGAGGAAGGTTTAGGTATATAATTTATTATGCTTTTATGTAAATTAGCTGAAATACGGCGACAAATGTTGAAGAGGTCGCAAAAAATCTCGCCAAATGGGAACTTTCCACGCGAACGCCGCGTAAACTAGCAAAGATACAGTTAAGTAATGTACTAGAGAATTCAAAATCTATAAAAATGCTACAAAAAAGTCCGCGATAGCATATCTCTATCTCTTACGGTTGACTTACAATAACCACTTTTATGTTAACATTTTTAATTAAAAACATTACGTTATTTTCAAAGTTATTTTCTTTAGTTCGGTATTAATCCTTATCCAAATGAATATTTTAGTTAGCTTAGTCATTTAATGCAGATTAAAATTGCTCTTTACACTAAATCAATCAGATGAATAGTTTTTGAGATATCGTTGTTAGAAGTAATTAGTAGCGAAACATTTTTAATGGTTGGGGAGCATTGAGATGCCTACGGCGAGTCCATCCCCTCTGCCCCGCATCGCTCGACCGCCTGCTCAAGCTATATAAACCGGGCGATGTAGCGCGCGATCCTAGGATACTTTTTACCGCGGGAAAATATCTTATTTCTGAGGAAAAATACAAAAACTGCAATGTAAGAGTATACTAATATGTAACACCTAAGAATTTAGTTTTTGGTCATCTGAACGCGGGCGGAGCCGCGGGCAATGCTAGTAATAGTATAAAAAAATGTGTTAAAAGAAAAAATATCGAATGTACATATTACAAGACTTCCGCAATAAGCAATAGCATTCGCAAGGAGGATTGATGTCAGGCAGATGTTAGCCAAATCCTATCAGCAGTACAGAAGATGTACTTCGCCAACCCCAAATGATTGGTAAATGGGCAGAAGATGATGTATTTTATTAATTTACCCACGAAAAATCACATTTGTTAGCCATATAATCTTTAATATGCTATATAGATAGTACGATTTTATTAGCAGCAAATAAAAACAATAGGGAAAATTCCTAGCTTTTGTTATCTATCATAGAAATCTTGCTTTCTTTGAAGCAGTAGTTGAGGTATTGTGTTTCCAACGAACGAAGCTAGGGCGACTGAGTTGTATTGTCTTGTTCAAACATCGCATGTTTTATGCATACAATGTCTTTTGGGTGAATGGGGGCGTTTGTTGGCAGAAATTACTGTCTAGTAAAGGAGGGATCGGGAAACTGGCCTACATACGTTTTTGGATGTATTTACTACTCTTATGTAAGTCGCTGTAGTTTTTTATAATGCTGTTAATACTTTATTGATTTAAATTGAAAGATTTATTTTGTGGGTTATATGGAGCAGCTTAATTTCCTAAGTTTGATGTTTGCTCGGTTCAAATTTTTAATTTAACATATGAACATTTATCAAAATATACTAGCGTCTCACTCTCTCAAGCTTGCTTCCCAATACAAATTTTCATCCCCATCATTTCATCCTAAGGAATGATTCCGGGATAAAAAGTATCCTGTGTCCTTCCCAGGGCCTCAAACTATCTTTTTACCAAATTTCATCCAGTTCAGTAGATCCAGAGATTACGCCCTACAACGTCACAAACTCACAATTCACAAACTTTACCTCTTTATAATATAATAATAATCTTTATTTCAGACGTAAGCACATCCATATATTTTTAATTGGCTAGTAACAATTATACCTAATATTAGTATAGATTAAAATATATCTATATTTTACTTAAAACCTTCAAGAAAATATTTAAATAATACTAAACGTACCTTATTAAATATTTCGTAGCTAGCCATACTGATACTAGATATATTAAACAATTAATTTCAACTTAGAAAGTTCAAAATCGAGTTCAAAATAACTTCATTAGTTAGATGCATATTCGCAGATGTCACGTTATATATACAGCTCTGCTAACAATCATCCATTGTTAGATACCTGTCGATAATCAACATGGCTTATTGTTTATTGGCATTAATAAATTGCGCACAAAACGCGTTTTGTTTACGAAACCAATCGAAATGTCGCCCGACAAATGTCGATGGGTCCAACAAAGGTATCGTGTACAATGCTGCCGTATCTTTTTACCGAGCTTTGGGACACACGGGTGGTACGTTTGTAAAATATTCTGAAATAATATTTTCTATTGTTTATGTTTTATTCTATTTAAGAATGTGGTTTCATATGGCATTAATAATATAGGCAGTGGTAGCCCAGAGGTAACGCGCTTGCTTGGGAAACCGAGTGAAGCGGGTTCAAATCCCGGGTCTCGCACCTCTGATATTTTCATGTGCGAATCATTTCTAACATGATTACCACTTGCCTTACGATGAAGGAAAAT